CCAGTTATAATGAATGGTGTACTTTTCATCTTCAGAGATGAAATTAAATTTAGAAATTCCTCTATAAAAACGGATGATTTGATATAATTTGCTTTACTCGGTGGTGGCCTGCATATGCAGCTGATGGTAATGCTTTGGGACTGCAGCTGGAAGGACATTAAAGCAGCCCCACATGAGTGACAGGGAATCTTTTTCACAGTAACTTGTGCTAAATTAGTTCTATAAATAAATGCTACTCCTCCTCCTCTACGTCCAACACGAGGGAAAGACTACAAGCTGGTCAGTCCATGCAGGTGACAGCTCGCTGCTGCAGGAAGTCCCCCACGACGTGTGCGCGATATGGCGTGGGGTTGTCGTCCTGCAGTACAGCCTGGGGTCCAATCTGCTGCAGGAGAGGAATAGCAAGGGGACGCAGGATTTCCTCCCTGTACCTTGCCAAGGTCAAATTGCCCTGTATATGGTACACGGGGTCCTGTGGTGAGCTGAGAAACCTCCTTATATCAGAACGGACCCTGCAAAGTAGGGCGCCACCTGCTGGATGCACTCAGGGTGGAACAGCTCTCCTCGGCGCCTCCAGACGTGGGCTCGCCTGTCTGGGTGCAGCAGGTTGAATCTGGTTTCGTCCGAGAAGACTACCTTGTCCCACTGACAATTTGTCCACTGTTATTGGCGAGCAGGCCACGCCTGGCGAGCTGCTTTGTTGGGCGGCGTGTGCCTTGGGCGCCTGGCAGGGACACGAGAAGCGAACCTGGCTCTACGGATACGGTTCCTTACCGTCTCCTGGCTCTCGTGGACATTGGCTGTCACCCGTAGTTGGTCCCTGATGCCGTTTACAGTGGTGGTTCGTGACGTCACGGCCTGTTTGACGATGAACCGGTCGATGCTGTTGTTGGTCAAACGGGGCGATCCTGGTCGACGCCTGTCCGGGACCCTTCCGGTCGCTCGCCATCGTTCTTGCAGCCTCTGTATGACAGATGGAGACACCCCAAATCGATGTGCAACAACTGGGAACGTGGAGCCGTCTTGGAGCCAGGTAAGGCCTCGTCCTCTGTTGACGTCAGGCAGCGAGTGTTGTTGGACCATCGTGTTGTAATGAAACATGGCAGAAAAACGCCGGCTTATAAAGGGTTGTAAGTGAGCAATCTTCACAGCTAAGACATCTGTTTAGCACGTGCCAAGCTTAGTTTTAGCTAACAGTCCCTATGCCAATGTTGCTGAATCAGCGAAATTAAGCCCATTTTTCATGCTTTTTGGCTGTGTTTCAGAATGCCCTGCGTCGTCGCTATGAAGCTGGTGCTGGCAAATTTGCCGTACAGGCAAACTGTGTCTAGTCGTCAGTGCGTGTGCCAAGTTTGGTAGACTGATCATAACGTGTTTGTGAGATATTGAAGTTTGAATTTGACGGGTGAAAACACAAGCTTTTTTGAGCGAGTTTATTTATAACCTCTGTGAGTACCCCAATACTATCG